TCTGGATGTTTTCGCCTGAGGACGACCGCTCGTGTTACGATCAAAACGTCGCGATTTTTTATTATTATTTAATTTTTCCTACCTTCGTGACTTTACTGGCAGAACCAAAGAGTATGAAAGACGTCTTGTCTGCTGATCTTGTTCATATCTGTGTACATCGATATCCCACATTGCTTACACGTACACACCACACACAATGAAATAAATAGAAACTAGAACGACTTCTGGAGATGGGCAAAGATTCAGTTCAGTTCAGTTTATTTTGGTATAGCCCTGTGAGCCATTCGTCTCTTGAATCGGGTGCAACCACAACAAAAACACGAACAAGAAAAACATCTTAAAGTGACTATGTGACTGTGCAAACACAAAATCCATGGAAAAAAACCAGCAAAAATATTCCTGAAAAAAGCACCGTACACCAACGCTGTGTGCAAAAAATCCCAGTGGGATGCAACTCAAACAACAACAACAACATACTCTTTGGTTCTATTCGGTAAAGTCACGTAGGTAAAAATAAAACAACAAAAATCACGACGTTTCGGCCACAACACAAGCGGCCTTTATCAGGTGAAGGGACCAGACTGTCTCGAAGACTGCGCTGGAGTGAAACAGAGCCAAGCTCAGACCACGGCCTTTAAGCTGTGTGAGAGGGATTAAGGTGCCTTGACAAAAGATTTTTTTTTAATGCCAATTCCTTTGTCAAGGCACCTTAATCCCTCTCACACAGCTTAAAGGCCGTGGTCTGAGCTTGGCTCTGTTTCACTCCAGCGCAGTCTTCGAGACAGTCTGGTCCCTTCACCTGATGAAGGCCGCTTGTGTTGTGGCCGAAACGTCGTGATTTTTGTTGTTTTATTTTTTACCGACGTGACTTTACCGAATAGAACCAAAGAGTATGGATCCTTGCAGTCACGAAAGATTCAAATCTAGAATTGATAGCCTCTACGGGGAGGGTTTTCACCTATCTGTTAGAGCTTTTAACAGACAACGGGACAAGACGTCACAGCTCATCGAGACGCTCACCTTCCTCAAAAGATGTCGCGACCACAAGGTAATACCCATCGCCTTCACACTCACTTCTGCTGCTGTGTCCTCACCGAATTCTAAACAGATTCTGTTTAAGTCCAGCCTCTCTTTAATCTCAGAGAGGATAAGACTACTACGTTTTGAACTCGATACTTTAGACAGGACTCTCCTACAAGCTCATTTAACGTTAACACAAAAAATGTCACCTTCTGATTGGAACCACGTAGACAACACGACTGCTTTTTTTGCCGATTCACTTTCAATCAGATGCAAAGCTAAATTCAACCACCTGTCAAAGAAAAAACCCGGTTCCACATATCACCAAACTAAACGCTGACAAAATTGTTATCAATCAGAGTAGCACCCCGATTTCAGACAATCTGAAAACAGTATTGGCTAAAGGACTACATTTCGCTGTCACCCCAAAACATATACCGATAGATGATATCATTTCTCAGGTCCATGTAGCCCGCAAAGGTATAGCACACATCCAAGCAGACGTCGCAAGAGCTGAAATAGCTACTATTCTTAAGAATGCTAAGAAACCCGTGAGCAACATCAGCAAAGATGAACGCTCAGAACTCGCGAAATTAAAAGAGAGACATGATATAGTCATCCTCTCAGCCGACAAGGGCAATGCCACTGTAATTATGGATAAAAACTCATACAACAATCAAATTCAGGACCTACTCAATGATGGTAGTTACTCAAAAATTAAAAATGACCCTACTAATAGCCTAACTATGCAAACCAACAAGATCATCACAAGTTCGACCTCCCTAATCGAACCAACTAAACGTTTTTCCCTAAAACCTTCTGCTGCAAGACCCCCTAGATTATATGGTCTTCCAAAGATTCATAAAGAAGGCACTCCACTACGATCCATCGTATCCACGATCAACTCCCCTACCTATAAGCTAGCATGTTTTCTGTCGGATACCTTGCTACCTTTCACTGGCAAGACCTCCTCAGCAGTACTTAACTTAGCCCAATTGGTTTCTATGGTCAAAGACGTTGTACTGTCCCCTGACGATATCCTTATCAGCTTCGATGTGGTCTCTTTGTTCACCAAGGTCCCGGTACCTGATACCATTGATATAATTGAAAATTTGGTACAACATGGACTAAACCCCGAGGTACCTACGCTGGTCAGACACTGCCTCACCAACACCTACTTTACCAGGAATGATTCCTTCTACAAGCACAATGAGGGTACTCCCATGGGTTCCCCCTTGTCACCAGTGATAGCCAATGTTTTCATGGAGAAATTTGAATCGGACGCCATCCAGACTTCCACCCTCAGACCTTCCCTGTGGAAGAGATATGTGGATGGCACTTTCGTTATTTGGCCACATGGCCTCCCAGCTCTGAACCTTTTCCTACACCACATCAATTCCAGACATCCCGCCATCAAATTCACCATGGAAGTGGAGAAAGATGGCAAGCTACCATTCTGAGATGTTCTGTTTGAGAGGAGACCTGATGGCTCATTGGGGCATTCTGTCTACAGGAAACCCACCCACACAGATTCCTACTTGAAACCTGATTCCCACCACCACCCAGCCCAAAATAATTATCTCATCAAAACTTTATACCATAGGGCTTATTGCATTTCGGACCAACACCACCTGACCAGTGAATTGAAACATGTACACCTGGCCCTCAAAAAGGAATGGATACTCTGACCGTACCATCCGCCAAGCTGTTTCTCCCTCCATACAGAAACAACCACTTGATACTCTGGTCAAAACCATCACACTACCATATATAGCAGGCGTTACTAAAAAAGATTTCAAAAATTCTAAACAAACACAAGATCCAGGTCCGGTTCAATACAGTACACAAAATTCGTGATCTGATCCCATCCGTGAAGGATGTCATTCCTGACTTACAGTACCCCGGGGTTTACAAATTGAGTTGTACCTGCGGTGATTGCTATATCGGGGAGACGAAACGACATGTCTCTGACCGAATTCGTGAGCACAAATCAGATTTGAAACACGGCAAAACGAATTCTTCTGCCGTAGCTGATCATTGTTACAATGCTGTGGGTGATCACGATATAATTTTCACCGATACCAAGGTTCTTTGCAAACCCACGTTTTTTTTTTAATCAGAGATTTGTTCACGAGGCAATTCAGATCTACAAACACAGACACAATTTCAACCGAGAAGATGGTTTAAAATTAAGCAACCATTGGAAAGATGTTCTAAATCGAACCAAACATTAAACTAATTTCAATGGTACAGTATATTTTTTCAAGTAGTGGTACCCCAAACTTTCGCAGCACATGCGGACGCATGTGCACCCGCATGTTCACCCTCTCTACACCTTTCATCATGCTAAGTCCGCCAATTAAATGCGAATTTTTTTTGTTTATGCTAATTCCTTTGTCAAGGAACCTTGTTTCCTCGCACACAGCTTAAAGGTCGCGATCTGAGCGTGGCTGTGTTTCACTCCAGCGCTGTCCTCGAGACAGTCTGGTCCATTCACCTGATGAAGGCCGCTTGTGTTGTGGCCGAAACGTCGTGATTTTTTGTTATTTTATTTTTACCTACGTGACTTTACCGAATAGAACCAAAGAGTATGGATCCTTGCAGTCACGAAAGCTTCAAATCTAGAACAACAACAACCACAAAAACTTAGATTAAGGCCATCAGTCTAACTCCGTACGACAACAAAACAAACATGTCCAAACCAAAAAACGTTTTCCAAATCACCAAAAAATAAAGCCATAATTGCAACGTAACAGTGATCACAAGGACTGTGACCGAATTTTTACAATAAACTACATAAATAACATGTAACACCAAATCCTAGGGCCATAGCTGGCTGCATGAGTTACTCCACAACAACAGAAGCATCGGTCGGAGTATCAAATTTTTTCAATGCACCTTTAAGATCAGCACGCTAAATCAAAATACAGATAAACATTTTATTTTACGCCAATGAATAGCAGTGGCAGCTTGGGGTGTACAACTCCTCTAGAGCAGTTTTGAGAGAAGATCTCATTGGTAGCGATTCAAGTTGCAGTTTATTGGCAATAGCATTCCAGACTCTGGGGGCATCAATAGCAAAGGCCCTTCCACCAGTTTTTGTACGGCAATAGGGAATGTGAAGCTGGTAAATGAGCGAAGACCTGAGGTCAAATTTGTTCTTTGAAACAGAGAGGAGATCCAGCAGGTAGTCTGCGGATTTTTTTGTAAGTACATCGTGAATAAATAAGATCTGGTGCACAAGCCGTCGATTGAGGAATCTCTTTCAATGGAGCGAGTTAAGTGTGTTCGATTCAACATCTCTCTGTCCGTCTGTGTCTCTGTGCGCCTCTGTGTGTCTCTCTCTGCCTGTCTCTCTGTCTCTGTCTATCTTTCTCTGTCTCTGTGTTCCTCTTGTCTGTGTCTGTCCGCCTGTCTGTCTGTCTGCGTCTGTCTATCAGCGTCTGTCCAACCGAAGTCAACGACTGTCAGTAGCAGCAGGCGCCCGTTCAGCTCCCACGGCTACACGCCACTCAAACTTGCTCCCAACACACAAAGACAAAGATCCCCCGTATAGCCTGCACAGAATGTTGGGGCAAGTGCTGTTAGTGAGCACCTAATACAAAGATCCCCCGTGTAGCCTGCACAGAATGTAGCGGCAAGTGCTGTTAGCGAGCACCTATCACAAAGACAAAGATCCCCCGTATAGCCTGGACAGACTGTTGGGGCAAGTGCTGTTAGTGAGCACCTATCACAAAGACAAAGATCCCCCGTATAGCCTGGACAGAATGTTGTTGCAAGTGCAGTTAGTGAGCACCTAACACAAAGATACCCCGTATAGCCTGCACAGAATGTAGCGGCAAATGATGTTTGCGAGCACCTATTAAGGGTGGGACGGCACACGAGGGGGTGGGTGGCCAGCACCACGCCCGGCCGCCTTTGTCTCCCTAGTGGCGATGTTTACACACCGCACCGGGGTACTCGTTTGAGGCTGAGTCGACGTAGGGGAGGCTCAGGACCGGTTCAGAAAATCGTCACTGGCGGTGTTGGCCACGAGCGGGAATGGAACTCGGCTGGTCGGGAGCGGAGCGCTCACTACGTCACTGCAGCTCCCCTTCTGTCAACAAACTTGAACTCTAACCCCGCTCTCGGACGTCACTGCTCAGCGTGACCTCATCGGCGTCAAACGCGAGGGGGCGGTGGGCCTCGCTAGTGACGTCATGTCACCAAGGTATTCGCCTCACCCTCGACCACCGCGCTCTTGAGCGTGACGTCGCCTCCAGGTATGGGCCGGTCCAATTAGAATAATTTATTCAAGTTGAGGAGCCCCTTGATGTGGGAGGGGTGTGACTTGTACTCCGGAAGTGACGTCACGGCACCTCCTGACGCGTGACGTCACGAGTTAACCGGAAGCTTCCGCTCCGCGCGTGAACTGAAATCCGAGGTGAGAAATTCTCATCGCGGTTGTGGTGGGTGTGGTGGTTATGGTGCTTGTTGTGGTGGTGGTTGTGGTTGTTGTTTCCCGAGGTAGAGCCTCGCTCTCTCTCTCGTAGGGATGTCAATTGAGTAGCAGCGAGCTTGGAAACGATGTCCAGGTTGGAACTTTACAGCGCAGGGCCTAGCCACGCGGGGCCTTGCCTCCTGCCCTCGCCTGATTGCATTCGCTTCCATTCTCTTAAGTTAAATTTGTCTTGACCTGGCTCACTACTTTGTCACTTTGCATATTCACACAGTGTTGTATTCTTTGTTTTTTACCAGGCCACTCCCGCGTTGAGCTGCTACACCGCTCTTGTTTTCAGAAGCGACCTGCCCACCACACAAGGTGAGGCTCGTCAACAGCGTGGCGGTGTTCACTCTAGACGCGGGGCGAGCCACGGTGTGGGGGAGGGGGGTCACCTTATCTTAGTCACGTGACGTAGCTCACGTGACTTCTGCCGCGACAATGTCTGGATGTTTTCGCCTGAGGACGACCGCTCGAAACGTCGTGATTTATTATTTTAATTTATTTTTTCTACCTTCCGTGACTTTACCAAAAGAACCAAAGTGTATGGAAGACGTCTTGTCCGCTGATCTTGTTCATATCTGTGTACATCGATATCCCACATTGCTTACACGTACACACCACACACAATGAAATAAATAGAAACTAGAACGACTTCCGGGGATGGGCAAAGATTGAGGAATCTCTTTTCTATGGAGCGAGTTAAGTTTGTTCGATTCAACATCTCTCTGTCCGTCTGTGTCTCTGTTCCCCTCTGTGTCTCTCTCTCGCTGACTGTGTCTCTGTCGTCTCTGTATCTTTCTTTCTGTGTTCCTCTTGTCTGTGTCTGTCCACCTCTCTCTTGTCAGTCTCTGTGTGTGTCTCTGTCAGCGTCTTTCCAACCGTGTTCAACTACTGTCAGTAGCAACATGCGCCCACAACTACACGCGACTCAAACTTGCTCCGAGTCTCTGTGTGTACATTGAACTTATTTCGCACAGTACGTAGCCAAACCTGCACAGTAGGAGCGGCTGGTAGCTGTGGAGCTGTGGGCTGGGTACATCTGTCAGCAGGAGCGAGAGACAATGAAGCTCCCAAGCATTCACTACGTTACCAACATCATATTTGCACTCATAAGTCGCTTGCCTAACTGCCTCGGCAACTCGGTGTCTCGTATCGAATCTCATCTCAAACAATCGAAGGACCCCTCCCTAAGTGGCAGCTGCCCCTGTGTGGCACAAGGTGGCCCTGCACCGGCCTGCACGTGGACATGAGTCTGTCGGTAGGGGGCGATCATTGACGTGCCATCTCCCTTGTGTAGTTTCTGGATAATGTTTGGAATTGCCACAATTTTGACCGTGACACCAACATGCAATGACCTGTGCGTTGTGAATGACACAGCGCTATGTTTTACAGCTGCCGTGAAGCAGACTGCGCATATCGTGGTGATTGTTACTGGGGTAGCCAGGTGTGCCTGTCGCATTTGAACCGTGAACCTCTGCAGTAAATAGCGAATGTGCTACAATATTCTTGGTTCTTTCGGTAAAGTCACGTAAATAGAAAACACAATTTTTTTATTTTTTATTTAAATTGTCATTTTGTTCTATTTAAGTGACTTTACCGAAAGAACCAAGAATATTAATTCCTGCAGTCACGAAAGTTTCAAGTCAAAATAGAATTCGCCTCCACTCGGCTCGCCTCAATCTGCGTGGAGGCGTTGGGGGGGTCAGCCTGAGAGAACTTCCTTCCAGACGGCTCCACGCAGCTTCGTGCGGAGCGACAGGCCAGGGAGCTCCCACACAGCGTGGCGCAGCTGATGAACATTTATATTGTTGGTTCTGTCGGTGAAGTCACGTAGGTAGAAAAATAAAAATAAAAATTGGTAAAGTAATAAATTGATGAAAAGATGCCATTGGTCGACTGACTGAGATAACTGTGCCCACCACAGTATACACACACAGTGTACACACACAGTGTACACACACTGTGCACACACACACAGTGTACACACACACAGTGTACACACACACAGTGTACACACACAGTGTACACACACTGTGTACACACACACAGTGTACACACACTGTGCACACACACACAGTGTACACACACACACACAGTATACACACACACACAGTGTACACACACAGTGTACACACACTGTGTACACACACACAGTGTACACACACAGTGTATACACACACAGTGTACACACACTGTGCACACACACAGTGTACACACACACAGTATACACACACACACAGTGTACACACACAGTGTACACACACTGTGTACACACACACAGTGTACACACACTGTGCACACACACACAGTGTACACACACACAGTGTACACACACACAGTGTACACACAGTGTGTGTGTACACACACAGTGTACACACAGTGTACACACACACACAGTGTACACACACAGTGTACACACACTGTGTACAAACACAGTGTACACACACAGTGTACACACGGTGTACACACACACTGTGCACACACACTGTGCACACACACACACAGTGCACACACACAGTGTACACACACAGTGTACAAACACAGTGTACACACACAGTGTACACACGGTGTACACACACACTGTGCACACACACTGTGCACACACACAGTGTACACACACACTGTGTACACACACTGTGTACACACACACTGTGCACACACACAGTGTACACACACTGTACACATACACAGTGTACACACACACACAGTGTACACACAGTGTGTACACACACACATTGTGTACACACACACACAGTGTACACACACACAGTGTACACACACACAGTGTACACACTGTGTGTGTGTACACAATAATGTCCACGTTGTTGCTGAGCTCACACACCCAAGGGGTCTCTGTTCAAGGGAGGGAGCAATGGAAAATGAATCTAAATCAACTTAAACTCCAACCACGTTCTGTGACGTCACCACTCAGCATTACCTCATCGGCGTGAAACGCCAGGGGGAGGTGTACCTCGCTAGTGACGTAATGTCACCAAGGTGTTCACCCCACCCCGTCCACCGCGCCCTTGAGCGTGACGTCACTCATGCCTGGGTCGCTTTCGTTATCTGTTCAAGTACAATCCTGTTCAAGTACAATCCTCATTAACATAATGTATTCGTGAAAGCTGTCGCGAGTTTATTGCGACGAGTTTGGCACCCACGCCCCATCCCTCCACTTATGGGCCAGGCTCATTAACATAAATTATTTAATTTACAGAACCGCTCATTGTGGGTGGGGAGTGTCTTGTTCCCCGCAAGTGACGTCATGTCACCGCCTCCTGCCGCGTGACGTCACGAGGTAACTGGAATCTGCCGCTCCGCGCGTAAACTGAAATCCGAGGTGAGAAATTCTCATCGCGGTTGTGGTGGTTGTTGTGTTTGTGGTGGTTGTTGTGGTGGTTGTTGTGTTTGTGGTGGTGTTTGTTGTTGTTTACCGAGGTAGAGCCTCGCTCTCTCTCGTAGGGATGTCAATTGAGTAGCAGCGAGCTTGGAAGCGATGTCCAGGTTGGAACTTTACAGCGCTGGGCCTAAGCACGTGGCGTCTTGCCTCCTACTCTCGCCTGATCGCGTTTGCTTCAATTCTCTTGCTTAGTTGAGCAATCTTCGTAAGAAAGTAATCAACCAGGCTATGCGTTACTTGTGTGTTGACCGACTCTCTGTGTTGCATTGCATTAGATTTCGTAATTGTACTCAGTTTCGATTTAAAGCTTTCGTGACTGCAATGATTCATCATCTTTGGTTCTTTCGGTAAAGTCACGTAGAATGAGAATAAAATAATAAATTGATAAAATAAAATAACACAATAATATTCTCACGACGTTTCGGCCACAACACAAGCGGCCTTCATCAGGTGAAGGGACGAGACTGTCTGGTAGGACAGCGCTGGAGTGAAAGAGCCACGTTCAGAACACGACCTTTAAGCTGTATGAGAGGAAACAACGCGCCTTGACAAAGGAATTAGCATATAATTTAGCATTGAAATGGCTGAGTGATTAGCTTGTGACTGCGGATGTGTATGCTTTAACTTTAACATAGCTATTTCTGTGACCAGTCACAAGCTAATCACTCAGCCATTTCAATGCTAAATTATATGCTAATTCCTTTGTCAAGGTGCTTTGTTTCCTCGACACAGAGGCGTTGTTTCTCTGTGTGCCTATGTGTGTGTCTCTCTTTGTGTGTCTCTGTGTTATCTCTCTCTGTCTACGTGTCTCCGTGTCTGTGTTTTGCCTCTCTCTCAAATTGAGCAATCTTTGGAAGAACGTTATCAACCAGGTGGGGTGTTGACTGTTAGCCGACTCTCTGTGTTGTATTGCATTACGTTTCTAAGTTTACTAGGTTTTTTTCTCTATCACTTGTACCTGATGATGATTGCTTGTGTTGCAATCGAAACGTTGTATGCTATTTGCATACAGCGATGGTGTACGGTGCTTTTTGTGGAATATTTTGCTGTTTTTCCCTGGATTTTCTGTTTGCAGAGTCACATTGTCACTTCAAGATGTTTTCTTGTTCATGTTTAAGTTTTTTGATTGTTGCAGTTGCACCCGATTCAAGAGCCGAATGGCTCACAGGGCTATACCAAATAAATGAAACTGAAACTATTATTTAATTAATTTATTTATTTCTACGTGACTTTACCGAAAGAACCAAAGAGTATCTTGCTTTAGTTTAAATTTCTCTTCACCTGCCTCGCTACTCTGTAACTTTGTTTTGTTTTAAATATTCACAGTCTTATTTTTATTTTTTTACCAGGCCACGCCCACGTTGAGCTGGTGAAACCGCTCTTGTTTTCAGAAGCGACCTGCCCACAACAACAATAACAACAAGGTGGGGCTTGTCAACAGCGTGGTGGTGTTCACTCTGGGCGCGTGGCGGTGTTCACTCTAGACGCGTGGCGGTGTTCACTCTAGACGCGTGGTGGTGTTCACTCTAGACGCGTGGTGGTGTTCACTCTAGACGCGTGGCGGTGTTCAATCTAGATGCATGGTGGTGTTCACACTCTACATGTGGAGGGGAAACCCGGGTATTGGGTAGGAAATCCACGCAACCACGGGGAGAGAGAGAGAGACACGCAGCCTCGGCTGTGTTGATTGATCCTCAATGAATTACTTGGTGGGGTGAGGAACCATTAATACTGAGCAGGTGAAGGTGGCCAGGCGTGGGTCTGGACACACCACCACCTGTGAACCATGCCAGTGTGTGACAGTGGTGGAGCCAGTGGGTGGCACGTGCCCCCCCAACAATCCGATTGAAATCCCTAATTTTGATAGGATCATTGGGGTTTATTAGTAACTAGCTTCACTTCCCAGCTTCGCCCAGGACTCGGATTCTTGTCTTGGATAAATTTTAAATTTCATATTCCCTTATCTTTCATTGAAAAACCCTGAAAAAATTGATGCTTGCAAGAAAGAAAAAAGCAGAAACAAATCAGGTTTCCTAAATCGGATGTTTTCACTCAAGGAAATTCAACCTTAACCCACTTCTACGTGAGGTCGATTTTGGCCACTCGGGAAGGGAATGACGTAGCGAGCTGAAAATAGTCGCGTTCACTTAGAAATTCCAGACAGCATGAGCTGTGAAAATTTCATGACGCCAGAGCTCAGCGTTGGAGAGGTTTTGCTGCTTCACACAAACAAGCTGATGTAATTTCTGCTTCATATTTAAGATAGCAGTTCTACCCGTTCTTCGCACGGATTTGTATTGAGACTCCGAGAAACCAATGGCTTCATCGGCCAGGAGCGAAGCGCCACCTAAAATCTCCCGGCACGCTGTTAACAGCTCTAGAAGTACGGCGCGCGAAGAGGCATATGGAAGGGGTAAGCATTGCAGAGCGCTTAACTCAGGTGTGTTGCGGGTTGACGTCACACACTCCATGGTCATTTCCCCCACCCCTCCCCCAAAATGCCAAAGTTTATTTTTATACTTTTTACATTGTGTACAGTATGGAACCTCGCCACATGCCAAGTCTCAAGTGTGTAGCCTGTTGGGAAGTTTGCTAAACATTTCGAACAGACACACGTATCCACACATTTCCCTTTTATATATATAGATAAATCAGCATTTTGCGACCCCCACTGCCACCGTTTGACATTATTACGTGCCAGGGACTCCATAATTGGCAATAATTAACGGCAAAGCAGTTACAAACGACTCACAGAATTGTGCGCAGTTGCGTATACAGTACACGACTTCCCTGATGACAAACACCTTCAGCGAGCGCGATGCCTATCAACGCGTTGAATCAAAAGCAAGGGACAAGTCCTTACTTACTAACAACTCCTTACTTACTAACAACTCCTTACTAACAACTCCTTACTTACTAACAACTCCCAACATTTTTCATTGCTGAAGGGGTTGCCCCATCTACCTGAAAATCCTGGCTCCACCTCTGAGTGTGTGACAGGGTCAAGTTTGTATTTGCATTAAAGTCTTTGTAAGAATGGAGTCAGGAAGTTATCACAGCACACGTGCAGCTGAAGTCGGAACTGTTCATCCCAGCATTCAAGGACATCTGTGCCTGGCTTCACACCTCTAAGTTGCGATTGAACATTAATTTATGCATTTCTGCATAACACAAATAGTATTATTTTCAACACCCTTTGCTATGTCAGCTGAATTTAGCTTTCATAAATATTCCTTTTGAAGCCAGAAAGCCGAAATTGTGTGCTCGGAGTTTTGGGTTAACATTCATTTTGAAGATACGAGGGCTTCCAGGCACGTTTATGACATTTGCCCTCTCATTGTGTGCCATAACAGCCCGTGTGATGAATTTGGGACGCTTTTTCACTACAACATGAATATATGAATAAGTATAGACATGTAAGTCACGTGTGACTGTGTGTATGCATTCCTCTGTGCATCGATACTGACGTGTAGATGGTGTGGATATTTTTTTTTCTCTCTGCAGCTGTCGCTTCCTCTGCAGAATTTGTCTCATGGAGCAAAGGCACTCGGCGCGGCTCGGTGCAAAAAGGCAGAAATGCGTCCGGCGTGAAAACAACCCGGATCGTACTGGAGATTTGACACGGCACCAGATAACTCGCACAGGAGATGAACCCTTCAAGTGCAGTGTGTGTGGGAAGGCGTTTACACAGTCATCAAGTCTTGTAGCACACCAGAGAACACACACGGGAGAGAAACCCTTCAAGTGTAGTGTGTGTGGGAAGGCGTTTGCACAGTCATCTACTCTTAAAAAACACCAGAGAACACACACAGGAGAAAAACCCTTCAAGTGCAGTGTTTGTGGGAAGGGGTTTGCGCAGTCATCTACTCTTGTAACACACCAGAGAACTCACACGGGAGAGAAACCCTTTAAGTGCAGTGTGTGCGGGAAGGCGTTTACAGATTCATCTGCTCTTGTAGCACACAAGAGAACACACACGGGAGAGAAACCCTTCAAGTGCAGTGTGTGTGGGAAGGCGTTTACAGATTCATCTGCTCTTGTAGCACACAAGAGAACACACACGGGAGAGAAACCCTTCAAGTGCAGTGTGTGTGGGAAGGCGTTTGCACAGTCATGTACTCTTGTAGAACACCAGAGAACACACACGGGAGAAAAACCCTTCAAGTGCAGTGTGTGTGGGAAGGCATTTGCACATTCATCAAATCTTCATGTACACCAGAGATCTCAAAAGCATCAGAAGATCCACAAGGAGTGGAGTCTGAAATCAGCTTGTGAAAGTCAAAGTGCCGCAATGAGCCCATCCCTCATGAAACAAGAACCGGAAGAAAATCCCAGCCTGGACACTTTTAAAGGTATCGAGGTAAAATATGAAGAGGTGAAGGTGAAATGTGAAGAAGTGATGATGAAGAGCGAAGTAGTGAAGGTGAAATGTGAAGAAGTGATGGTGAAGAGCGAAGAAGTGAAGGTCAAATGTGAAGAAGTGATGGTGAAGAGCGAAGAAGTGAAGGTCAAATGTGAAGATGAAGATTCAACTCCAAAATCGGACCTTCACATCGATGGAGGCAACGTGAAGCAGGAGGATAATTCTGACTGAGGCAGAGCGAGGCAACTCCCAGCAGTTCGTGGAAGTGGAAGTGTGGGTGGACTTCCTCCGAGACAATACAAAGTCAAATGGAGACCCGGTAGATGTGTAAGCTTGAGACGATGTCGCTGCAATAGATGCACCTTTGTCACAGGCCTTTAATGACAAGAATGTGAAGTTGAACACTCAATTCCTAGGATCAACCAGCAGGGTAACAGTGGCCAGTCTTTGTGGACCTGTGGGTTGGGTAGATCTCTAACCAGGAGCGAATGCCAATAAGCTCCCAAGCGTTGACTATGTTATCATAATTGCATTTATATGGTGCTTGCTTTATCGCCTCTGGCAATTCGGAGTTTTGCGTCGTATCTCGTCTCAAACACTCGAAGAGCATCCCCAAGTAGCAGCTGCCCCTGTGTGGCACAAGGTGGTGGCCCTGCACCGGCCTGCATGTGGACAAGAGCCTGTCAGTAGGGGGTGATTGTTGATGTGGCATCTCAGTTGTGGAGTTTGTAGGTAATGTTTAGAATTTGGTACATTTTGACCCAGATGCCAGCAGGCAATGGTCTACTCGTTTTGAATGACACAATAGAATGTTGTATATACATTGTTAAGCATACGGTGTGTATGTTTTAAAATAGCTTCTTGTTAGTACGATGTAACCTGATGCAGTATATTTCAGTGCAGTATTTCAATTTTGTTAATATTCCTGTCAATAATTTAGAATGAATACTTGTCTGATTGTGTGCGTACATGTAACATTTTGCCTATGAGGGTCAAACATTGAATAAGTGATGCTTGGACAAAGTGTGTATTTTGGAAGTAACCTGTACAGATAACTCAGGTGAGACTCATTGTTCTTGTGATACAGGTCAAAGGGTATTTTTGTGTTTTCAGGAAGCATCTCCCTCTGGAGCAACTCATTGTTTTATTAAATAGGCAGCACACTCGGATCATTTATCAGTTACAAGGCATACCACTCAAAAGTTACACATAGAGGAGATACATTCTCTACAACACGAATTATAATTTTGTATTACGTGTTGACGTAGGTTTTGTCGAATTAGCACGAGAAATGGTCCTTGCTGATTAACGTCTGGATGTTCACAACCGAGGGTTGGAGCAAGCCTGACCGCCTGCGGCGCCCCTCACAACCATTTACGGCCTTGGGCCAGGAAAGTCACGAAAAGAATTGCACACGAACGACGCCTCCACGCAAGCTCCCGATGCTCCGTTTTGAAGTTTGAAAATGAAACAACTTTGTACTTTATTATTTTTTTGAATTAGATAATTGTATTTCTTCATTAAAAGCTTATTCATTGAAAACGATATTTCGTGTGAATTTTCCTCTCGTCGTTAAGTAGATGGCCTTGCCGGGGGTTCGGTTCGATGCGGACTTTCACCTGGTTGGGATCGCGGGATCGAGATGACGCGACACAGAGCTGGCCGTGCGACGAGACCGCCGTCCGCAGATCGAACGTCTGTCCCTGCGCCTCCGTCATTAATGCAGGGGGCGCATTGGTTTGCAACGCCTCCTGCATGAAAACTCTCTGCATGTGGAGTGGGATCCAGAGGGAAATCAACGCGACCACAGGGAGAGAGAGAGAGAGACACGCAAACTCCAAATATACAGCAAGCGTCAGGGTCGGGTTCGTACCCACGACTTCCTGTATGCCAGGAGAGGTAGTTAACATCTCACCACATGGAGAGAGAGACACGCAGCCTCAGCGATGTTGATTGATCTTTAATTACTTGGTGGAGTAAGGAAGCATTAATACTGAGTGGATGAAGGTGGCCAGGCATGCGTCTGGACACACCACCAACTGTTTACCATGCCAGTGTGTGACAGTGTGAAGTTTGCATTTTCAGTAAAGTCTATTAACTGTGTTGAGCACGGAGGTTGTATCAAAACAGTTTATTTTAGTTTTCCTCTGGAACTCTTTGTAAGAATGGAGTCAGGAAGTTATCACAACACACGTGCAGCTGAAGTCGGAACTGTTCATCCCAGCATTCAAGGACATCTGTGCCTGGCTTCACACCTCTAAGTTGTGATTGAACATTCATTTATGCATTTCTGCATAACACAAATAGTATTATTTTCCACACCCTTTGCTATGTCACCTGAATTTAGCTTTATACATATTCCTTTTGAAGCCAGACAGCCGAAATTGTGTACTCGGAGTTTTGGGTTAACATTCATTTTGAAGATACGAGGGCTTCCAGGCACGTTTATGACATTAGCCCTCTCGTGTGCCATAACAGCCCGTGTGATGAATTTGGGACACTTTTTCACTATATCATGAATATATAGACGTGTAAGTCATGTGTTACTGTGTGTATGCATTCCTCTGTGCATCGATACTGACGTGTAGATTGTGTGGATATTTTGTTTCTGTCTGCAGCTGACGCTTCCTCTGTTGCTTCCTCTGCAGAATTGGTCTGATGGAGCAAAGGCACTCGGCGCAGCTCGGTGCAAAAAGGCATCAATGCGACCGTTGTGCATACAGCACGGATCGTCATGAACATTTGACACGGCACAAGAGAACTCACACAGGAGAGAAACCCTTCAAGTGCAGTGTGTGTGGGAAGGCGTTTGCACAATCATGTACTCTTAAAAAACACCAGAGAACACACATGGGAGAGAAACCCTTCTTGTGCTGTGTGTGTGGGAAGGTGTTTACACATTCATCTACTCTTGTAACACACCAGAGAACACACATGGGAGAGAAACCCTTCTTGTGCAGTGTGTGTGGGAAGGCGTTTGCACGTTCATCTACTCTTGTAGAACACCAGAGAACACACACGGGAGAGAAACCCTTCAAGTGCAGTGTGTGTGGGAAGGCGTTTACACATTCATTTACTCTTGTAACACACCAGAGAACACACATGGGAGAGAAACCCTTCTTGTGCAGTGTGTGTGGGAAGGCGTTTGCACGTTCATCTACTCTTAAAAAACACCAGAGAACACACACGGGAGAAAAACCCTTCAAGTGCAGTGTGTGTGGAAAGGCATTTGCACATTCATCAAATCTTCATGTACACCAGAGATCTCAAAAGCAGCAGAAGATCCACAAGGAGTGGAGTCTAAAATCATCTTGTGAAAGTCAAAGTGCCGCAATGAGCCCATCCCTCATGAAACAAGAACCGGAAGAAAATCCCAGCCTGGACACTTTTAAAGGGATCGAGGTGAAACATGAAGAGGTGAAGGTGAAATGTGAAAAAGTAACGATGAAGAGCGAATTAGTGAAGGTGAAATGTGAAGAAGTGATGGTGAAGAGCGAAGAAGTGAAGGTAAAATATGAAGATGAAAATTCTACTCCAAAATCGGACCTTCACATCGATGGAGGCAACGTGAAGCAGGAGGAGAATTCTGACTGTGAGGCAGAGCGAGGCAACTCCCAGCAGTTTGTGGAAGTGGAAGTGTGGGTGGACTTCCTCCGAGACAATACAAAATCAAATGGAGACCCGGTAGATGTGTAAGCTTGAGACGATGTCACTGCAATAGATGCACCTTTGTCACAGGCCTTTAATGACAAGAATGTGAAGTTGAACACTCAATTCCTAGGTGCAACCTGCAGGGTAACAGTGGCCAGTCTTTGTGGACCTGTGGGTTGGGTAGATCTCTAACCAGGAGCGAAAGCCAATAAGCTCCCAAGCATTCACTAGAGTCTATTAATTCCATTTATATGGTGCTTGCTTAATCGCCTCTGGCAATTCGGAGTTTTGTATCGTATCTCGTCTCAAACACTCGAAGAGCATCCCCAAGTAGCAGCTGCCCCTGTGTGGCACAAGGTGGTGGCCCTGCACCGGCCTGCATGTGGACAAGAGCCTGTCAGTAGGGGGCGATGGTTGATGTGGCATCTCAGTTGTGGAGTTTGTAGGTAATGTTTAGAATTTGATACATTTTGACCCAAACGCCAGCATACAATGGCCTAATCGTTTTGATTGACACAATAGTATCTTGTACATACACTGTTAAGCAGACGGTGTGTATTTTTTTAAATATCTTAATGTTAATACGATGTAACCTGATACAGTATATTTCAGTGCAGTTATAAAATTTAGTTAAAATGACTCAATAATTTAGAATAAATACTTGTCCGATTGTG